TCGAACTTGGGTCACTTCAGGCTGCAATGTGAACGCAGCCTAAGTGTAACACGTAATATAGATTAACTCCGAACTGACTGATTTCTGTCAGTGTTTCAGCCTCTGTCTCTATTGATGATGATGATGACTGTCCACTGAGCAGCTTAGAAAACTATTACTGTTAATTATTATATCAATAAAAAATATTTGTAACAAAAATATGGGCTTAATGGGAAGTGTGTTAAAAATCTACAAACTGCTGCTAACTACTTCCTCTTAGATTATACACAAACACCACATATTGAAAATAAATTATTGGAAATATTACAGATTGTGTGGGATTAATAGAGATATTCTTTAACATGTCATCGATCATCATCTGATCTGACCAGAACCAGGAAGCAGCTGGAGGTTCTGATCCAGAGACACTCACCTGGTGGAGGGGGCGGAGCTACATGCAGGCTGATGGAGCTGATGAGTTTCATCTCAGTTTGTTTTAGTGACTCAACACTCACCTACTACATCCAGGTAGATCTTCATCCTGAGTTCCTCCCCGTCGACCTTCTGGATGACTCGACACTCATATTCTCCCGTATCGTTGATCTGCACTTTCTTCAGAACCAAAGACACGTCTCCACCCTTCATCTTGTAGTCCAACAGTTCCACCCGGTCCTTAAAATCTGGATGCTGCTTATTTAGATCCATCTTCCCGTCTTTGAACAGGAGGACAAATTTTGCCCCCAGGCCAGATTTGCTCCACTCTACGACCTCGATGGGGTTATCGTCAGGGTCGCTGCAAGGCATAGTGACCTCCGCTCCAGTGGTAGCTTTGATGTTGATCTCTTCTGAAGGAGAGGAAACATACAGAGGTCAGAGATCACAGTGCACCTCTATTCTTCCACATCAGCTTTTAACAGATGGTTAGTCAAAGAAAGTACCCGATCTCTGAACTCTGAGGTGTTTTAGTTTTAGTCATAATCAGAATGTTTTTAGTAGATTATGTAGATAAAGTTCTTCAGTATATATATAAGTCAAAATGCCCCGTGGAGGTGTGTTCTTGGTTTTGTCGTGGCCACTTGCATGTTAGTAATATGACAAACACACTTAGAAAGAATAACCTGAAACCGGAGTATAAAAACTGTCTCTAACAGCTTTTCTAAGGGGGAGTTTAAAAAATGCAAATCACAACATGGCGGAGATAAACGTTAGTGATTCGAACCGACTAGTTTGATGGAGAAGGATCTGTCTGTGTGAAACAGCTGAATCTCACCTGTAGCAGAGACAAACTGCATGAAGACCACAGACAGCAGGAGCAGATACGCAGTCAGAGAAGAATCCATTTCCTGGTTGCGTCGATCTCTCCGTCCGAAGTTTAGATTCATGCGACGTCTCTAAGTGGAAAACATTTCCAGGAAACGCCAAAAAATATATAGGTTAACGGAAAACACAACAGTCGGTTAGAAGTGCTAAGAAATTAGGTTAAATAAAATAAACTGAGAAAAATGTATAACTCACTGCGCGAAGCGACAGAGCCCTGCTGAGGCGGGAAAATGTGGAGATGGAGCTAGCTTAGCGCTGCTGCTTCTTCTTCTTGTTTTAGTGTTTCATTGACGTTTATCACAAAACATTAGGTGCACATTACCGCCACCAACTGGTGTATGATGTGTACTGCAGCAACGCTCAAAATAAATGAAACGAAAATCTCATATCCTTCAAATTAAACGATTCAGTTTGAGATGATTTATCAATTTGTGAGAGCTTTAGATATTGCACTGCTTTGTAACAATTATTTAAAAAGAATATTAATTACACAATCTGTGGTTGGGCCAACGCCCTTAAAGGGACATACTCTGGATCTGGTGTTTTCACATGGGCTTTGTTTGAATACCATTGAAATCCTTCAGCCATGTATC